TTTTTTTTTTTTTTTTTTTTTTTTTTTTTTTTTGCATTAGGTAGAAGCTCACGAATTAATATTTTGGGTTTCGCTTAGTGGTCAAGACAACAGAGGACAAACTTCTATGTCATATCTCGCAAGAATTTAAAAATGAGTTTTCTTACTGGTGAAAATATGGAGAGAAACTCAATGCGTGACCTATTAGAACTTGGTCATTCGCTGATTGCTGAAATAAACCGATTATCTGAAGCGGTACCAGATGATTTCAAAAATCCTAATCTCAGCAAGTTCAAACCGTTGTTACTTGATTTCACTTATTTCGGCAACCTATCTCTGATCGACAATTTCATTGACACCAATGAAGTTTGTTGCCTTTACTGCTTTCTGTTACATTCTCTGCACTAACAAGAATTGTTTTTTTTTTTTTAATGAATGTTTTATCACTAGATCTTGTACTAAATTTTTGTCTGTTTTAAATTTGATTAATTTTTGGACACATATGATTAATTTTCTAGGAGGTATTTCAAATTTTCAGATGTTTCTATTTTAAGAGAAAAGTCTTTTGTATAAACTGCAGTAAACGTCAGACATTTCATTTTTAAATAAGGTGGCCAAACTCTGCAAAAAGCTTAACTTGCTCAATCTTCGTATCTCGTTGTTTCAAGTACTTGAGATGTCTCCTTTATTTTATACGTTCAGATATGTGGATGAAAGCAAAAGAATATTGGTTTTTTATTTCAGCATGGAATTCTTCTTGAAGATGAGTTCTATTTCACTCACGACAAAGTTATCAAACAGTTTGGTGCGCTCTTCGATTCACTCGCTAGTTTCTTCTGTGATGTTGTGGAGTTAGCCTTAACTTTTCATTGTTCTTCCTCTAGAAAAGTTTTGATTACTGCTAGTTAAATTAAGTTATATGCTATGTCTTCCACAAAGTCCTTGCAATTTAATGCAATTCAGAAATTTGAAGTTGACTGCTTTATGAAGTCTTCAGATTCCCTGTGGTGCGGTTTACATTATTGGTAGTTTATTTACACTGAATCCTCCAACTTTTTTTTTTTTTAAATTCAAAATTGTTTTCCTTTCCTCTCTTTCATCGTTGAAAAACATTTTGTTAACATTCTTCTTTTCTTTCGGGAAAGAAAAGTTAATGCAACCAAAACTTTAAAAAAAAATTATAAGTATTTTTTTGCAAGTCGAAGCAAGGAGTAGGGGTCGATGACTGCAGTGAAAGACACGTTTTACACGGTAACAGTGAACGGGTAGATTGCGAACAAAAGGGACGGGACTTTCATAACTGTCCAAATGAATAGGCGGACAGTTGTCGACAGCAAATCATAATCTTTTTTCAATAACATCAGTCTGGAAATACTCATATCAACACTATCAACATCAATAAAAACTTTATAGCTGAGTGGTAATGTATAATGTTAAGGGGCTATAAAAAATCTAAGAAATAGCGATCAAATTTTGTGGATACGTTTTTGCGGGCTAATGGAAAAAGAAATGTTCAGAAAGACCGTGAAGGAGGAGGTTTATGGATTTATGTTGCGTAATCTTATTGCTGTCATTTTTTTAGAATTTTTCTGGGATTGGGTATTAGTTTCTTCAAATATTTGCAATTTTTTGCACAGAAAAAGTTTTCACAAATTTGAGCGTGTTGTTTATTCCAGCTTCTTTATTTTCAGACTAGAAAAAAACCTGCTGTATTGAAATTTTATTCGGGCGTTGTTGCAGTTAAGCGTGCCCACTTCGAAATATTTATTTTGTTGGTAACCTGCTTTTATTTTTTAGGTAAAGCACTCTTAAAGTCTTGTTTTGATTTTTAGGTCGTTCCACGATAATACAGTCTTGATGTCGTGCGACATGATGAGTAGTGCTTTCCTTTTATAATTCTTCGGCTTAAGATTCAGCTTTTCTTGAATTTTCTTTATGTTTTCCTAAGATTATTTTTGCAACTGTACCAAAGCTTGACTGGACAAATTTCATGAAATGTATCCTTTAGAAAAAAGGAAAATAAGTTTGACCAAAAATGGTCTTGCAGTTTGTATCAAAGTAGTTTTATGGCGGGCAGATAAAGAAATAAACAGGGCAGTTGGAGGTCGTTTTTGTATATATGCTTATATGCATTCGCCTTCTAACGTGTTTCGCCTGGTGCATTTTGTACGATTGTAAAACACGTCTACTGCCTGTTACACCATACTCCAGCAGAGGAGTTGTTATGCGGAACGGGATAAGAGTTAAGGCTACGCTTTAACACTTATTCTAACGCAAACTGAAAAGTCTGGAACTGCCATTAAATGAATAGAGCAAAACTGAGGACTGCGGTGCAAGAAGTAAGGGGATATCGTTGGTTAAAGAATTGTCGTTAAAGTGAGGACGCTTATGTGCAGTAGTCATTTTCTATAAAAAACTGGCCAAACTTTGTGCAAGGCATAATAAATATCTTTCTTGATAGTAATTTTGAAAATTAGCTCTATTTATCTAATTGTTACATTGATATTAGTTGCTTTCTTGAAAAATTTCAATTAAGGTTATCAGAACGAAGTTTCAATCATTCCACAGCTTTCCGCCCATCTGAAGCTGATCTACAGCAGCGTCAAATAAAGGTTTTCATCAAGTTTAAGTTTTATGGTTTTTTTACCAGTAGCCGCCAATCGGGATGAAATTTACTAAGAATTTATTGAGAAGCAAGGAAAGCCATTTTAAAAAATTTGGAGATTTAGCGGGTAGTTTAGAGACGTATGTTTGAAATCGAGGGTTTTTTGGCTTTGCAAGGCGTTTCCAGTGATTGAGCTTTTCAAATCTATTTTTTGCGAGGCATTTCATTAAATAGTTCTATAAAGTCGTTTATTGAATTTTTCATCAAGTTTTCTACGAGTTCTCAATTTCAGTGTTTCATTAGGGTGTGACTCCAAATCTAGAAAGGAATCATGCACCGGCTCATTTTGGCTCGTGTTACATGAATTACGTAATTTTTTTTAGGCAGAAATCTTGTATGTAACTGGAATCATCCTTATTTTGTTTGACGAGAAATTTCAGATAGATGTAAAACAGAGGCTTTTTGTTGCTCACTATAGAAGCAAGTAGGTTACCAGCATTCTTGGCTTTTTTCTTTACTTTACTTTCGCCTTTTTTCTTTACTCTACGACCCTTCACTTTCTTAAAACTATGGCTAGTTAGAATACCTTTTTGGAAATTTTCAAAGGGGATACATTGAATTTTGTTGCAGTCCAGCAAATAATGAGCGATTTGATCTACTGGTCGACCTTATGAAGACTAAACCTTCGACTGTGGAGCAACTTTTCAAGTAAGAAATTTGGCGCTCTCACGATCACCAGTGATTTCTGTCTTGCACTTCAAACCATTTGTTAGATATCAGAATAGCGATGCTTGATTTTTTTTTGCTATGCAGTTCTTCAGAGATGAGAATAAAGTATTATTTCACAATTGGCATGTGGTGAGTTGCTTCGGTTGAATACATAATTTTTGAATATTTAAACAAAAAAACCATGCAAGTTTTTTAGTGCCCTGCCTGTAAATAGGGTATTTGCAAGCAGTATTGTTACGTCAGTCAGAAGTGATGGTTTATTTATGGATGAGGTAGCTTTCTAATTTTGAATTTATTCTTGAACTTTTTAAACTAATTTTTTATGTATTTTTTCAACTTAAAAAGTTCGATGATTTTTTTAGGGATTTCTGATTATTTGTTTATTTTTAGCATGATTTAATTCAAGAAACTTCCGGCGAAAGCTATGTCACGCGTACTCAACGTTCGGTTCTTTTTGTTTGTATCTGTTTTACACCGTCCGTTTTGCACTCCGATTTCACCACGATGCGTCAGATTGTAGATATGTACTTCTCTGACAATTGGGTAGTGTTCTTCATACTGTTCAAGTAGTAGGAAACTAGTTGCATTCTTTATCTTTTATTTGGTCTTTGAACGACTGAAGCATGTTTAACTTTTTTAGTGAATTGAGTTATAGGTCGTATCTCTACACCTTGGAGTATTAATAAATGTTGTTAGCGCGTGGGAGAATTGTAAAGCTGCAAATGCTGCCTTTCAGCAGTGCATTACAACAAACTCTGTGAAGAAACTTTGTGCTGCAAACGTACTAGCGTTGAAAGAAGTGTCGTTCCCTCACCTTGCAAAGATAACGAACGCTGACTTTACCCAATGTCATATGCTTATAACTAAAGCGAACATTTATCTGAGATGGATTATTTTACATTCTTGTAAATCATTACTAAACCATTGATAAGAAAAAGTTTTATTTGCTATATTTTTTCATGTAACTGTTTGATATTTAGACCGTGGATTGAAATGTAGTAAGCGTGCCAATCAGTTATGTGATACCGTTTGGAATCAGCTAGATTTACACCATGTCGATATATTTGATACATTGCTGCAGATCGCCGATTTCGAATACGCTTTGAAAGAAGTTTAACCTTAATTTATTCCCTAAATGTTTTGTTTTTACTGTATAAAGATTTTTAATTTAAGAAGTACCGTGACGTTTTTGGAAAAAAATTGTCGACGTTTGATGAGTTAAAGAAAGATGCTTGTCAGCATATATCCCAAATGGCCGGTTTATTTGCAAATGATATACCGCTACAAAAAATAAAGAAGAACCGTATGTTTGTTTTATGATTTATATTGTAGCTCAAGTTAAAAAGCTCCCCTAATTTGAAAGTGACTATTATGGTTCAGACACGCTAGTTACTTGAAAAGAAGAAGTCTTTTCTTCTAAATCCAGTTATTTTAAAAAGACTAAATGCTGTAATCTTAAGCTTTCTTTTTACGTCTCGTAATTTTTAACGTAAAATATATTGCTTAAATCTGTCTCTGATTGTGAATCGGGTTGTGCATAAAAAGGCATTTGGTGCAGATTTATACTTGGTTAATTTGCAAGAAAACTGCATTTGCAGCAAATACAGTTGTGTTTGGAATTTTTTAACTTCTGTTTAGCTTGTAGTCATGGTACTTTTCTGCAGTTTGTTGTTTGCACTTCATCTGACTGTTAGAATCTGCGTTTTTGTTCGTTTTTGAAATGCTATTTTTTTTCTATATTAAAAATTGTCCCATGAAAGTTACACTTGAAATTCTCCAAGAAAAAGTAAGTAATTGTAAAAAGAGCTTATTCTGTAAAGTAAGTTGAATACTAAGGCAATTTTTTACGAATATCATTTGTTGTACAAAAAACTGAAACTGAATTAAGAAATTCCACACGTTTACGAAGCGTTTCAAAAAAATCTACAAAAAAAAATACCATTTGCTTATTTTCGCATACAGTGTTCTCAAAGTAGTCGACGTTGAAGCCGGCTTTAGTGGAAACTTTGAATTTTGTTTGTTTAGGTTACTATTTACTCCCTCATTTGCTTCTCTACAAAAATTCCACATCTTGGTTTCCAATATTTATACATTGTAATTGTAATTAATATATTTACTTTTTTTTTTTTTTTTTTTTTT